GGGGTGTCGAACGCAGGCTTTTACTGGGCGACATCTTACCGGCGGCCATCAAGTAGTAATACGTCATTTTCGGCTCTCCTCTGAATGCGGCGGCGATGAGGCGATGTAAGAATATCCCCTCCAGGAGCATGCAGGAGTAGACGGCACTACCGGCGAGTCTGTCCATGGAGGAGATGACCCGGCACCAAACTGGGTTGGACTGCATCACTCCAATCTGCCGCACAAGAAGACACGGGTGGACCAGGTAGAAACATGCGGTTTTAATGCTTTGTGGGGTCGCGCGTGTAACAGCTGTGATGTTAAATACGATGGTTGCTATGGCAACTGCAGTGGTAATTTGGTACTGAACGGCGTGATTATTGTCTCAGTACTGAAAATAAATTACAGATGAAAATTTAGGCAGGCACCAAGATGTCCAAGCAGTTTTTAGAACCGGGTGCAAACAAAATTAAAGTCATACGAGTTTCCTGAAGAAGGAGGCAGTTTGTTGCTCCGAAACTTTGACATTTATCCAGTGCAGGAGGTCATGGCCTCTGCTGTGCTTACCCTTTCTTCGCTGATGGCGTCTAGAATGATTAGCGACTTCACAGCAATGCTGAAAGAGTTTCGGATCACAATGGACAAAATGAGGTTTCTGTGGAGTATGACCCTCGTGACCCACAGTTTTCTGAAACAAGCGAAGCAACACTGCATGAGGCTCTAAAAGCTTCGTGTAAATAAATATTTCACATTGAGCTTGTCCTATGTTCCATATTTGACGTGCGAACTTTTGATTTCTGGTAACGAACGATTCCTAGGAACATAATGCCTTTATTTTATACCCTGAGGATGGCTGCTGTATGTTCCTCCGAAACGCTGGTTCCCACCTACAAGACTACGTAGTAATCCATACAAAATACGACCCAGAATCTTATTTAATCCAGTCCAGGGTGCTAGCTGATGTTGTATAGTAATTACGACATTAAATACACTTCCTATTCTGAAATTCGTGTGTCTTTATTTTGAGTGTGGCTGCACTGTTTGGACGTCCATTACCTTCCAGAACACGAGGGGGCCTCTAAGGATCTGGGCAAGTCTTTTATACCTTACCGGTAGCTGAAAAAGATGACAAGAGCTGGAAGTGACGTGCCAATCGAAATGAAGAGTATGATCACGTGGTATGAAGTTCTACCCCTCAGCAGTACGATGTGGTCGCGAGAGCACGGCACATAATCTGTGTTCTCATCCCAGTGTCCCGTTCCGTCACACTCCTTGTCGCTGTACTCTGCAACAGAATGTGACGTCGCATGAAACAGCGTTATTTTTTTTATTATGTGGGGTATGTATTTTCTTCGTAATTCAATAATATCGTAATTTCGGTTAAGTTTTATTTCTTAATGGAAGAACAGTCCGCCCTGTATCCGATGCATCAACCCATTTATTGTGTTAGGTGGACGATTTCCAAAATGTCGCCCGTTTGTGACATTTGTCGAATTTCGTTTCACATTTTAAGTAGAGAATTTACGACTGCTGAAACTTACGCTGACAGGATGGTTCTTGGCCGAAGTAGATGAATTCTGGACAGGGTTTGTTCTGCGTCGTTCCAGCAGGGCTTTTGTCAAAGCAGCTCCACCCGTCCCAGTTCGCGGGACAGTAGCCCTCGCCTGTAACACAGAGATGTGACCCTCACAGCCTCTGAAGCAGTACATCTGTAAAGACGGCCTTAAATACGTCGCCCCTGTTTGTATTTTGGGCGCAGTCCCTGGAAGAAGGTTCTGACACAGATTTCAGGTTCTCACTGCGACGACTATGAAGATAGCCATCTTCTGGGATGTTACAGTGTGTAGATCCCCTGAAACGTCGGTTAATCAATCAGACTACACTGTGTGATATCCCAGGAGGCATCCATCTTGATTCTAGAATGTCTCCTTAAAATAGGCCACAACAGATTCCTTCTAAATTTATCATTCACAGTCTCTCAATTTCTCGACGTTGTTTATTAACGCAGTCGAAGAGTCGTCATTAATCGAACGCAGCCCCCCCCCCCTCAGAAACAGGCCGACACTTCGTGAAACACAAAACAACAGGAGTGAGGTAGACCTCGAGGCCGATGTCAGTTGACTCGTAGTACAGGCTGCTGCTATCAGATGGCAATATAGACAACAACGATGACTGTTTGTTGTATCTGGAAGTTGGCAACAAAATTGAAATTAGATTATAATTACGTGAGATTTCAGTTTCTCAAGGCGACGAGTATGAAGATCGCCATCTTCTGGGTTGTTGCGACCTGTGTTGTGGTAGACGTTTTCCGAAGGTTCAGATTTCCTTGCTGCCTCCATCATCAGGGCGATGATGGAAGCAGAAATGACCTCTTAAACGTCGGTAAACTTCTGGGGGACATCACGGGGCAACAGCCCAGAAGACGCAGTTTGTATATTGTAAAGTCGTCCTTTCATTTAAGCTCTGCGCCGTGAAAATGTATAGAGAAGTGGGGTAAAGTCAGACGGATCGTCTGCCTCGTCACAGTATGAAGGTATTCGGTCAGCCTCACGCTGCGGCCGTACCTGGGTACACATCTTCGCTGTTCATGTTGTCACAGCAGCTGATGGCCGCGTGGCAACACCGCATCCACTTGTTGATGCCGTCAGTTGATTGAAAGTCGTTTGCCAGAATCTGCACGATCTTGGGGTTCGTGTAGTCGTACGGCAACAGCGTCAGATCTGGAAGCTGGAAAAATTCTGTGTAGCGAATCGCAGGCGAAACAGTGCGTCAAATAGAGAGCGCAGTTCACAGTGAGCCGACGGTAGTTTCAAACGGCGCTTAATTACAGCGGACATTTTGTCTCTGCGTGTGTTTGCGGTCAGATTATAATTATTGCGGATGAAATGTACCAGGAAAGGCAGGCGTGGTTACGTCAATTCGGAAGGTACGTACTTCGAATCTTGGTTTTGGGAAACGGCAATAGACTGCAGAGTGAAGATTTGCGTAATGTTCTCAGTTTTTACAGTTCAGTGATTCTCAAACCGTGGTTCGCAATCTGCTTGCGTGTGTATTAATTATTAGGTTCTTCAACGACGCCCCCGAACATCTGGTGGTTCTACGCGGGCCAGTTAATTTATTTCGGAAGTAAATTGTCGCGAGTGCCTACGCGCCTTTTTTCTCGAGGCATTGTGCCAGGCGCGTGGCCGACGCGATTGGTCTGCGGGCGGTGGGGCGACACGACACGCGAGCCGAATTTTGACAAGTTTATTCGACGAGGGGGTTTCTAAAATAAAAGATTATCTTCTTCCCAGAATTCTCTGCGCGTAGCTGAGATTTTGTGTCTTCTGGGTTGTTCTGGTAGAAGTTTACGGACGTTTCAGAGGTCCTTGCTGTCCCCATCATCACGGCGATGAGTAAGCCTCGTGAGTGGGAAACGTCGGATGATGGAGGTAGCAAGGACCTCCGAAACGTCGGTAAACTTTTGTATCAGACTTCAGACTCACCGCCTTGAAAATCTCGAATTCTAATATTATTCAGCGATGAGTGTAATTATTATGCGGTAAGTCGACAGTCGTAACAAGTGGATTTAATTCAAGATTTGCACTGTAGTGCCAGCAGGCGATGATAACTCACTCGGAAACACGGGAACAGGGTGTTATCTGATGTGATGCAGGTTGTCATCCTGATAGTTCTGTTGGGCTTGAAGAAGGCAGAGTTCATGTACATGTAGCAGTAACAGCTCGACACATGTGGGAACATGGCCTTGTCGTAATTCGTGCCTCGCACGTTACACACTTCGCCGTCCTCAGCTGCCGTCCCCATACAGGGGTCGGTAGCTCGTGGCGTCCCTTGAAGAACCCTCCATGTCAGGGCCGCCGCATCCTCCGAGAATGCGTGACCAAGTCCCTGAAAACAGAATTCGGAAATTAACCGTCCCTCGTAACAAAGTCCGAAGACGGTATTAGAGCCATCTCCCGAAACGTCGTGGCACCATGTGTGCCTCATCAATGCCACTAAAATGTAAGTTACTGTGTATTTATGAAGCCGGTGCACTTTTTTAGTGCCAACAGAAACGAACGGCTCGGACAGATAAAAATTACCAGAAACTGTCACTTGTAAACAGTAATTAAAGTGAGGCTAATTAAAACAATATCTGGCCTGAGCAGTCTTCGCTGTGCTCTCCCCCAGCCAAGTCAGCAGTCGGTATTGCAGAAGGCTTTATTCGCTCCCACAAACAGAATACACGGCGAAGCATCTCGGATGAAAGCTTTCGTCGCGAGATCTGATGTTTTCACGGCGGCGAGCCCGAAGATGGGCCGTCTTCTGGACTGTAGCGCCGTGTGGTCTGGTAGAAGTTTACAGACGTTTCGGAGGTACGTGTACGTAGTAGGCTACTTACAGGGTAGAGATGTAGCAGGGTAACAACGAACAGGAGAACTGATCTTGCCAATTTCATGCCGACGTACAAGAGAACTCGCACGGCGCGGCGGTTGGACCGATTGAAACTGAACATCGAACGCATTAAAATCTTATCGATTTCTTAATCTTCTGGCTATGGTCTTGTTAGTGATAGGTAGCATCAAATACTGATTACCTCTTATCAGTTTTTGCCACAGACAAATGAACGGATGAGGAGCTTGAAATTGTATGACGTCTTTACAGTTCATGTTGGAAAATAACACAGCTTTGTGTTTAGGTGACTTAAGGCATGGGAACTTGTCCTCCTGACCGAGATTTGAAGCCGGGATCCTTACGAATGCGAAGCAGACGTCGCAGAATCTCGGCCCCGACGTCTGGGCATCAAGGACACATTATAAAGACTGCCACAAATTACACCTGTCAGTGCTGGATCGTGCGTGAGATCCTCGCCTTGGCTCGTTGCTTAATTCGCTTGCCCGTCTTACGGTCTGCGTCCATTTGTGAAGGGAGCGACACGGAAAGACGTCGCGGCTGCAGCCTGAAAGCCGGTTTCGGATGCCGGTAGACCCTGCACTGGGAAATGTGAATTATCTGCTGATATTTACGCGATTAAAACTCGCAGGTGCTTCGAGCCAAATGTCGCGGTCGACGATGGATACTTCTTCTTGTAATTGACGTTGTTCTACTTTCAAAGAAAGTGGCCTCGACTAGCAGCACGTCGTAACAGCTAAGAGAGTTTTAATATCTCACTGTTTTATGCGAACAAACATCAAAACATCAACTAATGTTTCGCGAACCGCAGTTTGCGAACTACTTGCTCTGGTCAGTGCGATCAACCAATCGGTTGATTACGATCCGTGTGGACTATGACGGTTATCTGCTTCCTTCGCAGGGCGTGCCCTGCTCTTGGTTGATACCAGGTTTTTTTGAGATAAAGGTAGAAGGACGCTGCACTGACGTTTCGGCAAATGCACCCACACAGTGACCTCTGAACTTGCAGGCTTGCCTCTTAGCTGCTGTTTTACCACGTGAAGGCGTGTGTGGCTGCCAAATTAATGTTTGAGCGAGAGGCAGGTTACAGGAATTCTTTGTTGCTTCAGTTGCTTTTTTCAGAAGTTGGTATGCCTGCCGCATTTTGTTGGTATGCCTGCCCACGAGGACCTCACGTATCACCAGCCTGTTCCTAACTTTCCTGCCAAGGAGTCTGAAGGTTGGTCGCCGTCACAAAAGCCCGCAATCTGAACTTATTACGAGCCAAACTCCCTCCAGATCACGTGTTCATGACCTGTTCTCCGAACATCCATTTTGGCATTTTTGTTACATCTATTTCTCGGTCTCGCAAGTCGACCTTTTCCATGTGATGTCGCGTGCCTTCTACCTCTGATCTTGCTACATTTTCGACAAGTTCTGTTTCAACCAGTCGCTTGTCACCTCTGAGTGCTGAGCGCAAGGTCTGAAGACCTGAATGTCGACATCACCTTTTTCTAGTCTCTCGTCACAATGTGCCTTTTGTCTGCAGTAAATGAACATCAGTGTGAATGACGGATGATTGTAGGCATAAATTTATTCATTTAATTTGTACGTCGTTTGCTCATGATTCATGGCGTATTAGAACACCCAGGGCATCGCTTGATTTCCAGGCAATGAATGGCGATGCAAAGATATTATGAAACGATATATCTCAGGAAATGTCGCTTAAATCATTAATTTTATCACACTTTATCTGTTCATTTTCCTGAAACAGGAATATGTCCACAGGTTGTCATATGTTCATGATTTATTAGCATTTGTGTAGTAATTGTCGATTGCGTCGAGCTAGTGTTTCTATAAACGTGTTTAAAACCTGGAAACTACATTACACGTATCGTAAGATTTCATTCACGCATTGTACGTCGATAATATCGTAATGTTTATCAAACACACCCTGATTTCTGTCACTTGTTGTACAAATGCTTCGATAAGCAAGCACAGCGTTTCTGAATATTTTAATTGAAAAAAGAAACTAACGCAGAAAGGGATGTAGTTCTGCTTTTGTGTAGTCTGCATCTGCGCACGAGACGCAGTAACTGAATTATTTGTAAGCGTTTGTGTATGCTTCAACGAGAGTTGGATCGAGTAGAAACAGGCAGCGTGCTGGCTGGTAGCTTAAGTCCGTTTCGGATCGGGTTATTCAGTTTTATGAAACGACGACAAATGTGTCACTGGTGCTGTGTGTCAAAGTTTGTGCGTGTAATAGATCATTAGACGCTGCACCACGGTTCAACTCAATTACGATCCATTCTGAAAACCTAATTCTTCATCAGAAGCGTAAAACTTACGCTGGCCTTTGTGGAGACACTGACTTTTCCACGCCTCTGACACAGAAAGTCATCGAGGTATTAAATATATTTATGTAGAACATATTGAAAAAAGTGTTTGTTTCTTTTAGAAAGAAAAGTTCTGATTACATCTGAAAATTATCAAGAAAGAAGTCGGTAGATTCGGGAAATTTGTAACTGTACACGTGTGCCGAAGTTGATGACAGTAGGGTTTGTCGTTGCCTTGCCTAGGAGCCGTATCCTTAAACCGAGGTCCACCCACCCATCCATCCGCTTCCCGTGGAACTGAACCCGTGGCCGATTTACGGAGTCAATGGGGAGGGAGGATTCCCCCAGGCAGAGCCCCTTCCGTGGCAGAATTCAACCGAGGCGGCTCGTGTGTCTTTGAAAAGTTTCCTCGTCTGCCTCTCCTACTTGTTGTGCAGTTATCGATAATTTCTTTGAATTATTCATTACCAGAGGTCACCCGATAAGCAGCGACTGGAATAGAGGTCCTCCGTTACGCGCAGACTCCACTTGACAAGTGCAAGCTCATCTTCTGGTTATCAGGTCGTGTCTGTTCACCAGATCAGCTGGATTAATCAGTTTTTAACCATTTGATAGTCCCTGATACCGCATGCAAGACATCGCAATTCGCTTTTGAATCTGGTTTCTGGAAGGGAATCCAGGACTTTTCACTTCGGGTGAGGGGCGTGGCAGCTTTCTACCATTTAACCAACTCTGGCGAATTTCGTGCGCGAGAAGAAATCTGTCTCTGAATGTTCACGTCGGCAGTTATCTGCCTGCTTTAGTATTGATAACCGATAAAACCTCTTGTCACACATTTTAATATTATCATATCATTCATAAAAGTATTCGCCTTTCAAAGCAGATTTTAGGCTCTCACGGCGGAGAGCGTGAAGATGACTTTCTTCTGGGTTGTTACCGTCGTGTGGTTTGGTAAGGTTTTCCGACGTTTCAGACGTACCGACGT